GCACATAAGAGCAGCAACGTGTGTTGCCATGTGAAATACTTGGATCTTTTTTAAATTCCTTATCTGTTTAAGAACCTCAAGCCTATAAAAAATTTGGATTCTTAAGATAGTTGAATAGGTGTCCATGAAGAAGACATGTATGCAAAAGAGCTTGGTAGGGAAGAAATTTTATAAAATTGATTTATCACTGAAATTTACTCATCTTAGTGATGAAATGAATAAAGATATGCAGCAGACAACATATAAGAAAGGATCCCTGGTGGCACAATGTGTAATGCTCGACTGCTAACTGAAGTGGTGGTGGTTCGAATCTGCCCAGTGGCTTCGCGGGAGAAAGACCTAAAGATCTGCTTCCATAAAGATACAGCCAAGAAAACTCTGTGGAGCAGCTCTGCTCTCTGAGTCTGAATCGATTCAATGGCACCTAACAGTAACATGCAAGTAGGATAATATTGGAAAAACCATCAATATGAACATGCAGTCATGTCATAATACTCTGAAGTCTTGTTGAATCTTATCCTTGAGGCCCATGCATTGGGCTTTGGTTATAGTTGATCTTCCAGTAAGAAACACCTTGTGTAGGAATATAAGAAATGATACCTGTAAATGAAACCCAACCTGACCAGTCGTCAAAACCAGAATTCGGAAGTATAATTAAAAATGACCTCTGATTATCTTCCCCTAAAATGTTTTGTCCTGGTTTATTTCTCATCCTGAATAGAGCTAACATGTGCTTGTACTATTTCAGTAATATTTTAAGACTTTAAAAAGGATATGTTACAATTAATCTCCACTTCGCCACTTCCTACCTGTGTGTCCTTGGACAAGTTACTTACTTCTGTGTGCTTGCATTTTCTTCTATAAAATAGAGATAAAAGTAGCACCTATCTCTCTTAGGACTTTTGTGAAGTGTCACTTAGTGATGCCAACAAAGCACTTAAAAGGATGTCTGGCATAGAGACCATGGCCATTACGATAAATACTCCTTATTGTTTATTATGCTTCATGGGATCATAATGATTTGAGATGGAATCCCTCCCTGCCCTTTCCCCCTTATGCATGTATATGGTCTAAGGGCTACAGTAACCTGCCTTACTGCAGCAGCTTTCAGACGTGCCTCCAAGGACATCCACTCTCTTTCTTTTTGGGTGAGTATTATGGTGACGTTTTCCCTGGCAACCCAGTGGGAATTCAAGGCTGGGCTGCATTAACAATGTTATCAGTATCCTGTTTATGAATGGAGGACTGAGGACTATGGTGTCACAGCAAGTAACAAAACTGAGATTCCACCCTCTGCCCCAAATGAAATGCTCTGGATTAAATGCCTATGTGACCCAGAAGTTTTTTTTTCTTCTTCTTCTTCTTTATTTTTCTTTATTATTTTTTTTTATTGTGATTTGGGTGAAGATATACAGAGGTAATTCACTTTTCATACAGCGGTTCACATATACTTTGTCTCATGACATTGACCACAGTTCACCACAATGCAACAGCTC